GAGAAAGATACCTCCTTTGATGGCCTGTTCTTTCTGCTGGGATCTCACTCACAGAGATATTTCATTTAGGACATTTTTTACCACAGTGTGTCTTGGCTTTCCATGCCTGAGAAACTCTCATGGGCTTTTTATTCAGATTGGAATGCCTTAAGGAATGAATCTGAGGCCAGAGTGCTGTTTATGGCATTTGCCATTCTATGAGGCTGCTGTGTATCCCACTTCTAATGTTGGATCATTCACTCCTGTTTAATTCTATCAATTATTATTCGCAGACAATGGTCTTATTTATGTGTTCCCTTTGATGTTTAATCCTATCTTTATGATCAATTTTGGTGTTAAACTGATCACTTTAACTGGTAAGATGGCATGGTTATCTGGGTGTGGCCTCATATTACATCAGAGTATTTTATACTCAAAATGGTATTCAAAGTGACCGTTTCTCCCAACAGGAAAAATTTCAGAATTTCAGTAATGGAAACTCAGCCTTTCTTCTTCCACAGATGCAGAACAGTGTATCCAGTGTGCAGAGCATGAGTATCCGAACATGGAGAGAAGTCACTGCCTCCCCAAGATGATGACCTTCTTAGCCTTTGAGGATGCCCTGGGGATGGCTCTGGTTTGCATGGCTCTGTGCTTCTCTGTAACCACAGCTGCAGTTTTGGGGGTCTTTGTGAAGCACCGAGACACTCCCATCGTCAAGGCCAATAACCGGTCTCTCAGCTACATCCTGCTCATCGCCCTCCTCCTGTGCTTCCTGTGCTCCTTACTCTTCATTGGCCAGTCCCAACACAGCCACCTGCCTCCTCCGACAAATAACATTTGGTCTTGTGTTCACAGTGGCTATTTCTGCTGTGCTGGCCAAGACCATCACTGTGATTCTGGCTTTCAAGGTTATGAAACCTGGAAGAACTATCAGGCGATTGCTTGTATCCGGAGCTTCTAACTTCATCATTCCCATCTGTTCCTTGATCCAACTAGCTCTCTGTGGCATCTGGTTGGGAATCTCTCCTCCATTTATTGAGTTAGATGCATATGCTCAGCATGGCCACATCATCCTGGTGTGCAACAAGGGCTCAGTCACTGCCTTCTACTGTGTCCTGGGCTACCTGGGTTCCTTGGCCCTAGCGAGCTTCACTGTAGCTTTCCTAGCCAGGAATCTGCCTGACACTTTCAATGAAGCCAAGTTCCTGACGTTCAGCATGCTGGTGTTCTGCAGTGTCTGGGTGACCTTCCTGCCTGTCTACCACAGCACCAAGGGGAAGGTCATGGTGGCCGTGGAGGTCTTCTCCATCTTGGCCTCCAGTGCGGGACTCCTGGGGTGCATTTTTGCCCCCAAGTGCTACATTATTCTTATAAGGCCTGAAAAGAATTCTTTGAAAGGCTTAAAGAAAAGAGCAAGTTCTACGGGATTCTAATATTTTTCTGCTTGTTTTGTTGTCACATTTTCAGAGTTTGGTGCCAAAAACCAAACTGATATAACATCCCATATATATAAAATAACTAAAATCAACTTTTCCTTTGAAAATGACTTCTAGATAGGACACTTAGCCTAGCAGATTACATGGGATCAGTTTCTGGCTCTGACACCTGGCCTGTACTTTTGACTCTTGGGGACCCTGGAAGGAAGTGGTGATGGATTATGGAACTTGGTTCTGTCCACGCATATGAGAATCCTGGTTTCACTCCCTATTTTGGGTCTAGCCACAGCCTAAGTATAGGCATTTGGGGTGTAGAAGCATGAGGTATAGAATGAGAGGTGTCTATGCCTCAGTAGTCACTTATGTTCTGGCAGCCAATATCATACTGAATGGAGAGAAGCTGAAAGCATTTCCCCTCAGATCTTGAACACGATAGGCATGTCTACTTTCAACATTCTTATTCAGTACATAACTTGAAGTGTTGGCAGGAGCAATTAGGGAGGAGGAAGAAATAAAGGGCATCAAAATTGGAAAGGAGGAGGCCAGCACTGTGGCATAGCAGGTAAAGCCACCCCCTGCAGTACTGGCATTCCCATATGGCACTGGTTTGAGATCTGGCTGCTCCTCTTCCTATCCAGCTCTCTGCTATGGCCTGGGAAAGCAGTGGAAGATGGCCTAAGTTGTTGGGCCCCTGCACCCATGTGGGAGACCTGGAAAAATCTCCTGGCTCCTGGCTTCAGATTGGTGTAGCTCTGGTCATTGATGCCATTTGGGGAGTGAACCAGCGGGTGGAAGATCTTTCTCTTTCTGACTCTCCTTCTTTCTTTGTGTGACTCTGACTTTAAAATAAATAAATCAATCTTGGGGCCGGTGCTGTGGTTCACTAGGTTAACACCCTGGCCTGAAGTGCTAGCATCCCATATGGGCACCTGTTTGAGTCCCAGCTATTCTACTTCCTATCCAGCTCTCTGCTATGGAATGGAAAAGCAGAAGTCCTTGGGCCCCTGCACCCACATGGGAGACCCAGAAGAAGATCCTGGCTCCTGGCTTCGAATACGCACAACTCTGGCCATTGTGGCCAACTGGGGAGTGAACCATCGAGTGGAAGACCCCCTCACCCCCCACCTCTCCTCTCTCTGTGTAACTCTAACTTTCAAATAAATTAAATACATCTTTAAAATAAATAAATAAATAAATGAATCTTTAAAAAAATTGGAAAGGAGGAGATCAAACCATCTGTTTGCAAATGACATGACATTGTACATGGAAAATCCTAATGCTCCACCAGAAAGCTGTAGAACTGATAAACTAATTCAGTAAAGTTGCAGGTTACAAATAAACACCAAAACGCCCATGGGCTCTTTAACACCCTAATGAACTCATCGATAAAGAAATCAAGAAAGAAATCTCATTCATAATATCCACAAAACAATCCAATACTTTGGAATAAATTTAACCAAAGAAATGCAAGATCTCTACAATGAAAGTTATGAAACATTGATGAAAGAAATCATCAAGGACACAAAAATATAGAAAGATAATTCCTTGTTCATGAAATCAGTATCTTTAAAATATCTATAGTAACTAAATAAATCTACACATTCTGTACAAAACCTGCCAAAGTACTAACGGCATTCTTCACAGAGGTAGAAAGAGCAATCTTAAAGTTCATATCGAGGAAGAGATTGATGGCGGAATAGTGAGGGCCCACACCGATAGCCCGGGAAAATTTAGTTTAATAAAAGGGGAGTTATGGTAGCCTCAGAAAAAAGAACCAGGAAAATATTGCAGAGGAAACTCTTCTGGATCAAGTAGCCATGAATCGGAGGACTTACTGGGAGAACAAGGTCGCCCACCACGCGGAAGCTGAGCCGCGGGACCGAGCCGCGGGACCGAGCCGCGGGACCGAGTCGCCCAAGCCACAGGGTCTGCGCGCCAGTGTTCGAAGGAGAGTGCGTGCCACACAGACAACAGTGGGGAGACTTGGGACGTCCAGGGCTCCAAGTCCACACATCAGCACTGGAAGGGGAGCGGACCTGCGTGGAGAGCGTGGGAGCCCACAGTTCGGGACACCAGCAGCAGCCTCAACACACCAGCGCTGGAACGCGAGGTGAGCCGAACCTCAATAGCCCGAGACACCGGCAGGCAAGCGGAGAGAGGAGACTAGAGGGAATGACCCCTGGGGGGGGGAAACTTCACCAGGCAAACTGGAAGAGAGAGAGAGGAAAAAAAAAAAGGTGACTGGTACGGACACGGGTTTCTCTCTCTCCACTCACCTCTCAAGGGTGAGCAAGACAAAGAGCAGGCGCCATCTTGGACATACGTCATAAGCAGAGCGACCTCAGGTCTGCACCAGCCCTGAGCCTAGCAGAAAAACCTGACTCTGGGTGGGGCGAATTAACAGGAGATTAGGACCTAGTAAATTTGTGGTGTACTGAACTGAGACTGTGAAAAAAGAGACGGTGGGGGAGAGAACTCACGAAATTCACGTGAGCACTCTCCAGAGACGCTACAATTCCGTAACTTTGGCAACCCAGTGGGAGACTGAAGGAGAATTTGAGCCCACTCTGAGGGCCGAACAGATTTCCTGTGTGGTCCTTGGGAAAGAGCTTCTGATCTCTGCCTCCTGTGGGTATATCATTTGCCTGCGAACTACCTCCAACTTTGTTCAGCTGTGCAGAATAACTTCCCTTTTGAATCAAAAAAAAAAAAGAAAGAGAGAGAGAGAGAGAGGTTTACCATGCCTAACCTGGGAGTGTCACCTTTGGCACACCAAACAGAGCTCTCAGGCCACACCCATCTCAAGCCCTAAGGCTCCATCAAAAACAGAGAGTCCACTTAATCTAGAGTCATAGTATAACAAGAAAAAGCACCAGAGTGAAGAAACCAAATATCTCCAATATGCCAAATAACAAACGCAAAAACCAAGGTAATAAAAACAAGGAAGTCACCATGAAGCCCTCAAATGAAAAAGACACCCCAATTCAAGATTATGAGGATGATGATATAGAAGAAATGCAAGAAGCAGATCTCAAAAAATTGATAAGAACATTAAGAAGTTCTCAAAAACAAATTCTGGAACTACACAAATCCTTAATGGACAAGATAGAAAATCTCTCTCGTGAAAATGAAATATTGGAGGAATTAAAATGAAATGAAACAACTAGTACAACAGGAAACTCTGATAGTGACTGAAGTGAAGAATTCAATAGATCAAATGAAAAACACAATAGAGAGCCTTACAAACAGAATGGGTGAAGCAGAAGAGAGAATATCGGACTTAGAAGACAGAGAACAGGAAAGGATACAGTCAGACCAAAGAAAAGAAGAGGAAATTAGGAATCTAAAACATATTGTCGGGAATCTTCAGGATACTATTAAAAAACCCAACATTCGGGTTCTAGCAGTTCCTGAAGGCATGGAGAGGGAGAAAGGATTAGAAGGCCTTTTTAGTGAGATATTAGCTCACCTTTTAGCTCACCTATGGCCCTTTTGATCCCATGCTAAATGATAAGGACCAGTTTCCCTCACTCTATCAGATGGCCAGCAGTGACAGCTCTTTGGGCCATGGAATGATCTCCTTGTTGCTGCATTTTGGTTGGACTTGGGTGGCGCTCTTTGTGTCTGATGACATGAAGGGAGAGCAGTTCCTTCAGTACTTTGAAGCTGCAATGCTCAAGAAAGGAATCTGTGTGGCCTTTACAGTGAAGCTCCCTGTCACAAAGAAGTTGTATGCGGATAGTGATCTCACTTTCATGAGTAGCATCAGAGTTTCATCTGCAAATGTGCATATTCTCTATGGTGATGTAAGAGGTCTCATCAGTGTGGACATTTCAGTGCAGTCATATTTAACCATGGGGAAAGTGTGGATCATGACATCAAAGTGTGATCTTGTCATTTCTGAGACAAACCACATGTTGCACTCTTTTCATGGAGGTTTCTCCTTTTCACCCCACAAGGAAGAAATCCTTGGACTCAAACTTTTTGTCAAGACAGCAAAGCCTTCTCACTACCCAGAAGACTTTTACTTCAGTAAATTATGGCTTTTTCATCTGGGCTGCTCACTTGAAGGATCATTTTGTGGACATATTGGAACCTGCTCACCAAATACTTCCTTAGAGTTTCTTCCAGGACACATTGACTTGCTGACCATATCTGACTCCAGCTATTTAGTCTACAATGCTGTCTACACAGTGGCCCACGTCCTCCATAAAATGATTTTGGAGAAAGTAGAAATGAGATCCTTAGCAGAAGCATCCCAGCCCATGATTCTTCCCTGGCAGGTAAACCTCCCCTGGAACAGAACAGACACTGCCCACTTGATGGAATCTAGAGATGTTTTATTGAGGTACAGCATCATGACCCTGCTCTCATTTTAAGGTCAACAGGATTGCAATGGATGATTTTTTTTAATTATTTCTTTATTTGAGAGGTAGAGTTACAATAAGAGGGAGAGACAGAGAGAAAGGCCTTCCATCTGCTGGTTCCCTTCCCAAATAACTGCAATGGCTGCAGCTGGGCTGATGGAAGCCAGGTGCCTGGATCTTCTTCTGGGTCACCCACATGGGTTCAGGGGCCCAAGCACTTGGACCTGGAAGCTGGGATCTTTCCATTGGTTACAGCTATATCTGTGATTGTTCACTTTGGCTGGAGTTTTCAGTCATTGCAGATTTTGAATGTATACTATTAGAAATTGTATCAGAAAATAGTGTTTTTTTACTTTGCATAACTAAGACTTTCAAATTTTATTTATTTATTTAAGGGGCACAGATTTCATGTATTTATATGTCAATGTAAGAAAAATAACAACACTTCCCACCCTTTCACCCTCACTCCCACCCTTCATCCTCCTTCTTTTATATTTCTTTTAATTTTTGTGATAACATACTTTCAGCTTACTTTATAATCATATGCTTAAACCTCTACTAAAGAAGGAATTTAACCAGTAGTAAGTAGATCTCTTTCTCAGGAGTATAGTCTACATGGGCTATAAATAATAATCAAATCTCAGGATACCTATGTCACTCATTTATGTTTATATTGAAAAATGCATACAAACAATAAGTAAAATGAACATATAATTAGATCTGTACTATTAAGTTTAGTCTCTGAAAATATTTTAGTGAATAATTCTCATCTTTATCAGAACCCATTATTTTAAAAGAAATTTTATTCATGTATACAATTTAGGAACATAGTGATAATTCCCCTCCTAGCCTCTCTCCTGCTCACACTCCAACTCATCCTCCTCCTCCCTCTCCCGTTCTAACTCTTAATTTTTGCAAAGATCTATTTCCAGTTTATTTAATGATCGTATGGTTAACCCTACACTAAGTAAAAGAGTTCAACAAATAGTGTGAAGGAAAAACCTCTCTCTTCTTCAGCAGAAGAGACAAGGGTTGTAAACCATTATTAAATCTCAAAATGTTGGTTTCACTCCAATACATTATATTTCAGGTACTGTAATAGTTACCTTGGTTCAGAGAAAATATATGGTATCTATCTTTTTGGGACTGGCTTATTTCACTAAGTATAATGGTTTCCAGTTGCATCATAGCACAAGGCAGGATTTCATTTTTTTCAGCTGAGTAGTATGCCATAGTGTATATATGCCATAATTCCTTTATCCAGTCAACAGTTGATGGATGTCTGGGGTGAATCCATATCTTAGCTATTGAAAATTGTGCTGTAATGAATATGAGGGTACAGATAACTCCTTCAGGTGCTGATTTCTTTTTGTTTGGGTAAATTCCCAGGAGTGGGATGGCTGGATCATATGGTAGGTCTGTATTCAGGTTTTTTAAATAGAAAGCTTTTATTTAATAAATATAAATTTTCAAAGTACAATTTCTGCAGTTCTTCCACCCCAAACCCACCCTCCTACAATCCCAAACAATCCCAAACAATCCCACCACTTACTAGTGCTCCCATCCCATTCTTCATTGATTTATTTTTAATTATCTTTATATACAGAAGATCAACTCTGTACTAAAAGTAAAGATTTCAACAGTTTGCACCCACACAAACACACAGAGGATAAAGTACTGTTTGAAGACTAGTTTTACTGTTAATTCTCATAGTACAATACATTAAGGACAGAGACCCTACATGGGGAACAAGTGTAGAGTGATTCCTGTTGTTGATTTAACAATTGACAGTCTTATTTATGATGTCAGTGATCAACCGAGGCTCTTGTCATGAGCTACTAAGGCTATGGATGTCTCTTGAGTTTAGGCAAGGCCATAGTCAAAGTGGAAATTCTCTTCTCCCTTCAGAGAAAGTTACCTGCTCTTTTGATGGCCTCCTTTCCACCGGGATCTCAGTCACAAAGATCTTTCATGAAAGGTATATTTTTGCCACAGTGACTTGGATTTCCATGCCTGAAATGCTCTCCTGAGCTTTCTAGACAGATCTGAATGCCTAAAGGGCTGATTCTGAGGCCAGAGTGCTGTTTAGGGCATTTGCCATTCTATGAGTCTGCTATGTGGCCTGCTTTCCATGTTGAATCGTTCTCTCCCTGTTAATTCTATGAATTGTTATTAGCAGACATTTTTCTTTGACACTTAATCCCATCTTTATGATCATTTATGAACTTAAACTGATCACTTTAACTAATAAGGTGGCATTGGTACCTGCCAACTTAATGAGATTTGGAGTCCCATGGGAAGTTTTTAGCTTTACCCTTAGGGATAACTCCAAGGAACGTGTGCTGAACTGTCCATCTCCCCCCTCTATATTCCCACTCCTATTTTAAAGAGGGATAAATTTTCAATTGGATTTAACCACCTAAGAATAAATGTGTGTTAAGTTTAGTGTTCAACCAATGGTATTAAGAAGAAAAAGAAAATACTAAAAAGAATAAAATAGTAAGCTGTTCCTTGACAGTCATGACAAGGGCTGATCAAGTCATTTCTTCTTATAGTGTCAGTTTCACTCCTACAGGTTTCCTTTTAGGTGCTCAGTTAGTTGTCACAGGTCAGGGAGAACCTATGATATTTATCCATTTGGGACTGGCTTATTTCACTCAGCATGATGTTTTCCAGATTCCTCCATTTTGTTGCAAATGACCAGATTTCACTTTTATTTATTTATTTATTTATTTATTTATTTATTTTGCCGCTGTTAGTATTCTATAGAGTACATATCCAATAATTTATTTATTTTTCTGGGTGCAAAATTTTTTTTCATTTAGTAAATATAAATTTCCAAAGTACAGTTTATGGATTACAATGGCTTTCCCCCCATAATTTCCCTCCCACTTGCACCCCTCCCATCTCCCGTTCCCTCTCCCATTCCATTCACATCAAGATTCATTTTTCAATTATCTTTATATACAGAAGATCGATTTAGTATATATTAAGTAAATATTTCATCAGTTTGCACCCACATAGAAACACAAAGTGTAAAATACTGTTTCAGTACTAGTTATAGCATTACTTCACATTGGACAACATATTAAGGACAGATCCCACATGAGAAGTAAGTACACAGTGACTCCTGTTGTTGACTTAACAATTTGACACTCTTATTTATGGCATCAGTAATCTCCCTAGGCTCTAGTCATGAGTTGCCAAGGCTATGGAAGCCTTTTGAGTTCACCAACTTCGATCTTATTCCGACAGTGTCATAGTCAAAGTGGAAGTTCTCCGCTCCCTTCAGAGAAAGGTACCTCCTTCTTTGATGGCCTGTTCTTTCTACTGGGATCTCACTCGCAGAGATCTTTCATTTAGTTTTTTTTTTCAGAGTGTCTTGGCTTTCCATGCCTAAAATACTCTCATGGGCTCTTCAGCCATATCCAAATGCCTTAAGGGCTGATTCTGAGGCCAGAGTGCTACTTAGGACATCTGCCATTCTATGTCTGCTGTGTATCCCACTTCCCATGATGGATCATTCTCTCCTTTTTTGATTCTATCCGTTAGTATTCGCAGACACTAGTCTTGTTTGTGTGATCCCTTAAACTCTTAGACCTATCAGTGTGATCAATTTTGAACTGAAATTGATCACTTGGACTAGTGAGATGGCATTGGTACATGCCACCTTGATGGGATTGAGTTGGAATCCCCTGGTGTGTTTCTAACTCCACCATTTGGGCAAGTCCGATTGAGCATGTCCCAACTTGTACATTTCCTCCCTCTCTTATTCCCACTCTTATATTTAACAGGGATCACTTTTCAGTTATAATTTAAACACCTAAGAATAATTGTGTGTTAATTACAGAGTTCAACCAATAGTACTAGGACAAAAATATAAAATGGATATAGTATTACATTGTACATCAACAGTCAGGACAAGAGCTGATCAAGTCACTGTTTCTCATAGTGTCCCTTTCACTTCAACAGGTTTCCCCTTTGGTGCTGTTAGTTGTCACCAATCAAGGAGAACAGATGATATTTGTCTCTTTGGGACTGGCTTATTTCACTCAGAATGAGGTTTTCCAGATTCCTCCATTTCATTGCAAATGACCGGATTTCACTTTTATTCTTTTTTTTTTAACCACTGTTAGTATTCTATAGAGTAAATATCCAATAATTTCTTTAAGCATTCTTCCATTGATGGGCAACTAGGTTGATTCTAAGTCTTAGCTATTGTTAATTGAGCTGAGATAAATGTTGAGCTCTTTTTTTTTTTGCCAATTTAAATTTCCTAGTGTAAATTTCGAGGAGTAGGATGGCTTGGTCATAGGGTAGGGCTGTATTTAGAGAGAGAGAGAGAGAGAAAGAGAGAAATCGAGAGGGTCTTACATCAAATGGTATGCTTTCCAATTGGCCACAAGGATAGAGCAGCACTGTTTTGAAGCCAGGAGCCAGGAGCTTCTTCTGGGTCTCCCACATGGGTGCAGAGGTCCAAGGACTTAGACCATCTTCTACTGCTTTCCCAGGCCATAGCAGAGAGCTGGATCAGAAGTGGAGGAGCTAGTCTCCAACTGGCACCCATATGGGTTGCTGGTGCTTTAGGCCAGGGTGTTAACCTGCCGTGCCACAGCCCCAACCCCTATAGTGACTTTTCCAGTTTGCATTCTGACCAAAAGTGCATTAGTGTGCCTTTTTCCTCATATCCTCACCAGCATCTGTTGTTGATTCATTTCTCTATGAAATCCATTCTAAACTGGGTGAGGTGAAACCACATTGTAGTTTTGATTTTTGATTTGCATTTCCCTGATGGCTAGTGACCCTGAACTTTTTTCATGTGTCTGTTGACCATTTTGATTTCCTCTTTTGAAAAACGTCTGTTTAGGCCCTTGGCCCATGTCTTAAGTGGGTTGTTGTTTTGTTGTGGTGAAGTT